AATAACTGAGGCTGGGAACAGAGGAAGAAGAACAGAAGAAACTACAGAATCCTTTTAAAGAAATGTTTGGTTTTTTTTTTTTGTGTCTATGCACTTTTGCACACCGGGCTATAACAGACACTGATGGGTGTGGTACACCTGGGGATGTACCACCCACCTCCCCCTGCAAGGAAGAGCTTCTGCCCAGAATGGAGAGCGCACCCTTCCAGGTCTGTCTCATCTGCAGGGCAGCCTTGGCCAGTAGACCACGTCTGGGGAGTGGTTGGATAGGTGTATATATAGGTATACATAGCCTGGTCAGGATATATATAAAGACCTGAGGCAGGATACCCCTGGGCAACACTTGCCCCCAAGCTCTCCACTCTCTTGGCCAAAACTTCTTCAGAGCTGCATCACAGTTCAGCTTCTTCCTCTGCTCAGTCCTGCTTCCTGCACCTTCCCTTAACAGGAATTGAACCCTAATAATATCACCTCAAACCTTGTTTCAGCTTCTGCGTCTGAGCACACACTGCTGGAGAACCACACACATATGTATGTGTGTGTGAGATCTTTGTTCAGAGAGACACTTTGGCCCAACTTGACCTGGAAGTAAATCCTGATTAGCCTGTAGTACTAAGTAGTCAGTTCATAAGCCCATTCACCCCACTACTGACTGATTTAGGAAGTGAGTATGATCCACTCTTGGCCAATGAGTTGACACACAAAGTCTGCTGAGAAGTCTCTAGAAGAATTTCCTCAGTAATAATTTTCTTCTACTAAAAAGAGCTGGATAGGAACTACGGTTGTGTCCATTTCAATGCCACAACTCTGCAGTCATCTTGGTACCAGAAAAAGGTCCCAAGCTCATGGAGAAGGGAAAAATGGAAAGAATGTGAGACCTTGGTGATATTACTGAAGTGCTGGCTTTGGAACCCTCTGTCAGGTCTTCTTGTTATGTGAGATGACAAATTACTCATATTGTTTATTATTTAAACCATTCTGACCTGGGCTTTCTATAACTTTCAGTCCAAAGCATCCTATCCAATGTACAGGCAATCAAGTATAGCCTAGTAGAGATTCTTGTAGGGTCTTCTTCTGCTGAACACCTAAAAAAATTAAATACATGCCAATTTTTTGGTATGTGAGGTCATAAAGATTTGTCATCAAAACTAATGTAAACATGCCTCTGAAATTCCATTTTGCTTGTAGTATCTTAGAAGAATTTGCCAATTTCATCCCATACATGCTAATTATAATAGATGGTCAAAGTATTTCAAATTTAAGGTAATGGCCTTGTAATTAAGGCTACCTAGAGCAATACCCAGCTTCCCAGGTGGTGCTAGTGGTAAAGAACCCACCTGCCAATGCAGGAAACACAAGAGATGAGGGTTCATTCCCTAGGTGAGGGACGATCCCCTGGAGGAGGGCATGGCAACCCACTCCAGTATTCTTGCCTGGAGAATCCCATGGATGGAGAAGCCTGGTGGGCTGTGGTCCAAAGGGTCACAAAGTTGGACATGACTGAAACGACTTAGCATACACAGTACAATACTGCTGAGTCTTTGGATATACATTTATGCTCTGGAAGTCTATTGGGATTTTGTGGTAGCTCTTATCCCCTTCAGATCTCCAGAGGGCCATCTCTGGGCATAGAGTCACAATTCACTGACCAATTTCCTAATTATTCCATGGAAAGAACCTCTTCTACAAACACAGAGAAGCTCACCCCTGAGAGAGACACTGTCTCTGCTATATTTTACAAACATAGAACTTGTTCATGACAAGCCATTACACTACCTGCAGGCTAACAGAAAGCCAAACTCTAAATGGAAAGAAATGCAAATTTATGCATGAGGCCAGGTGTGCAGGTCAGAGAGTCAGTTCACTTGTGATCTGGCTGGGTCAACAGAAATCCTGCTCTCTGACTGGACATGGACAATCTGTCTTTGGTCTAAACCAGCTTGCAATTTCTAGCATTTGGGCTCAGAGACTATTCCTATGCCAATTCCCTTTGGCAGGAAAGACACCTTCTGGCATCGTCATTGCTATTCCCAATCCTTTACCCCTGCCAAGCTCCTCATGTTTTATCTATTTTTATTTAAATTGGTGATCAAGGGATTAACCCAGCTTATACAAATTCCATCTTCCAAAAGCGATTATGGTGTAGCTGCAATTGTGATATTTCACTCTCCAAATGAATCGAATTGGATTTTAATGACAGTAGACTCCATTAACCAACACCTGATTGGGTTATTTCCTGGAAATTTTATCTTCATTGTTTTCTCCATTTGTGTTACCAAAAAAAAACTCAGCAGGAGAGCTATCAAGGGCTGTTGCCAAGCTATATTGGATCATCCTTGAAATCATGGTCACATTTTCTTCTGTTTCTAAGAAAGTCAGATGTCCCTGTAGTCATCATTTATTCCACCGGACACCCAAAACACGGTGTCAACTTCTACTGAAAAGGGGGGAAAATGTAAATAGTTTTTTGATATGTTACTTAATAGTAGTGAGGGACTGTAATTCTTCACAAGAAGCTCTCATATGGGATTATAATTTATATGTAATTTGCTATATTTATTAGAATTTATTTTAAAAAAGTTACTTTTAAGGCATTTTTCTCCTTAGAGAAAGCCAAATTGATTTTGTATTTTTTTTTATCTAACCTGAATTAAGTCTAAGTTAAACTGAAGAGCAACACAATTACGCTGTGAATCAGTCTGCAGATGTCTAATTTTTCCTCCGACACCACTAGGCTTTAAGCAGTTGACATCCTCTCTGTAACGGAGTTTATTTAAGATCTTGACAGAGTCCAACAGTACAAGTCCCTGAGGGGAGGGTGTGTTTGCCTTGTCCCCACTGTAATTCTAGGCCTGCCGTAATAATAGGTGATTAATTCAGACTTGTCGGCAGAGTGAAGAGATGAATGTCTGAGAATAACTGAGGAGTGTCCGGGCTATGAATCAAGTTCCCTGATGGTGAGTTCAGCCAATCTGCCATCCATTTTCCACAGCACCCAGTGCCTGTGGTCAGAAGGGAAAATGGTGAAACTATCCAACATAAAGAGTCAAATGCATGTAAGAGAGGATGGGAGAGGTGAGACTCTAAAAGAAATAGCAGCTTAAACTTTTGCATTCTTATTCTAACCTAAATGCCCTGATTTTGTTTCTCCTTTTCCAAATAAAATTTTTTGTAAAATGAGATCTTGAACTGAAAATGAAATTAGCACTTTCAATTAACCAGAATTTTAAAATTCTTCCTGAAGAAATAGCACAACTACAAATGAATCAGGAGAGAGAAAAGGTTTCCACCACCACCATCTATGCCCAGAGGCAATATTAGGGGCTATGTCCCTATGTAGCAGATTTGAACCAATCCTATGCTAATCTGTACTTCTAAAAATATATTTATTGAGCACCTACTGTTCATAATACCATTTACATACTACAGAACACAGAAAACATAGGCTGCAGACTTACACTTGCAATTTAGCTGAGAAGATAAAATACTTGTGAAAGTAATTAGCCTCCAACTAATAAAAATAAATGAAAAAAAAGATACTTGTGAAAATAGCTGTAAAGCACCACAATGACGGATTCAATGAGGCAAAGCATAAAAACAGACAACTTAAGGGGCAGAAAATAAGTGCTACACTTTAGAAGACTGCATTATAAATTTCCCTCTTACTAAAGAGAGCAAACCAAAACGCAAAATATGTTCAAGAGAAGCCTAAATAATCAATTATATTTTTAATGAGCAGCTGCAAAATTAATCATAAAAAATGCTAACTTAAAGGTATTAGCCATGAAAAGATAGATTCAAAAACTTCTTACAGAGGAGAGATTTTTGACCCAAAGCTGGTAAGTATTAAAGAATGTATTGTTTGCTTTTTATGTTAAGTATCTGTTCATGTATTACTTTTATAGCTTAAATAAATATTTTTAAAATATTTACGAACAAAGCCTAATTTAGTTTTCTAATTGCCTCCTGAAGTCTATTTGTGATCCTCTCTCAACATTCTTCATGTTAATAGGGCACATTAAACTGCATTTGGACAAACGTTCAGAATGGAATATTTGAATAATAACCTTCTTATGTTTTGATAAGTACTCATTCACATACATAAGACAAAGCATTACAAGTTGGAATATAAATGAATTCTGACACATCAAAAGCATTTTCTTTCCTCTGATATTTTATCTGTTTGTGGTCTGGATTTTGAAATACAGGAGAATGTTATCATGAATTCCCAATATAATTATGTGTTTCTAGAAAAGAAACGTCATTATCTGATAGTACAAATGGCTTTGGTATGATATCCAATGCCATTTCCCCCACTTTGTTCTCGTAAGTCATTCTAATTGAACATTTGGAGGAGACTCAGGCCCTGTCCACACAGGCAAAATCAGAAATGGCATTAAAGCTATGATAGAACATCCTACTAAAAGATTACTTCCACAGGATAATTAAATCAAAAGCCAGGCTTAAAGGTGAGGGAGAAATACTAATCTCATACTCTTCTACCAAAAAGAATATGACATCACCCCAAAATACAAGGGTCTTTTTTTTTTTTCGTTTACAAGATATAGAACAATGAAAAAAAAAAAGGATCAGGGCTCATGTCCTAATCTTCTTGAGTTAACTCCAGATGGAAAACAGGCCTAGGGAACTCAGAATATGGCAACATATCAGGTTAATACCAATTCACTTTTTCAACTATAAGATTAATACATGCACACCGGGCAAAATGTGACATATATAAAAATATCCCTGGGCACTGACTTTGTTTAAATAAGTATTCTACTTGGCTACTTCCTAACATCCTAAACAGAGTTTGTGGAATGTTTTATATCTACTTGCATCCATTCTAGCTTTCACAGGGGGTGCAAACAGCTGGAAAACAGGTGCCTCAGAAAGTTGCCATCTGCCCGGGCCTGTGACCAGCATACAAATGTGCCCCTCTTTGAGCTGTAGGTTCAGAAACAGTAAAAGGATATTTTCCCATACCTGTTCCCTCCTTTCTGAACAGAAACTTCCCTCTCTTGGAGAAGAGCCGTTAGCAGAGCTCCCAGCAAAGGCCAGTCAAAAAGTGAGTTGAAATGTTTCCTGTAACAGTAATGTAACAGTAATGTAATAGTTCTCACACTTCTCTCTCCACCACAGTTCATAGGGACTCCTAGACTGAGTGTACTAATGGAAATCCACACACTCTTGTCACTTTCATGATGAGATCTACTCAGAGCACCCTCACCTACATGGGTTCTAAAACACCAGTATAATAAAATTCCACATCCTTTTGGAAGATTGTGATCCACACAGAGTTAAGCAAACCAGTCCAAACAGGACAATTTACAAGCAATGACAGTGGGACAATGAAAGATTAAACTTAAATGATGTAATCCATACAATTATGTATCACAAGGTCATACTAGGGCCACCTCAGGAACAAATAGGGCATCCTATTCCTAGTTGATTTGAAGATCTATTATCAGAGAACTAGACGTTGGAATTAATGTCTATACACACATACACATACACATGATGATAACAGCTGAAAGACCTGGAATTTATACCAAGGGGAAGAGACTCTAGAATCTATGTCCAGTTTTGAGTCATAGATTCTGTGGAAGAAACACAACAGAGAACCAAGGTTAGCAGTTTACTTTCCGCCCCAAGAGGACTCAAGCAAAGCTTTCTCAATAAAGTTTTTGTAGTGAAAAGAAAGAGGTGACAATGGAAGAGCCAGATGAACTAATATAAGTGAAAACAGCAATTGCTGAATTAAAAAAAGAAAGACCCAACTACTTGCTACCTACAAGAGACTCTCTTCAACTTTAAGGATACACATAGACTCAATGAGATGGAAAAAGGTATTCCATGCAAATGAAAATGAGAGAGTAGGGAAAACTATTCTATCAGACAAAATAGACCTTGAAAAAAAACTGTAACAAGAGACAAAGAGGGTCACTATGTAGTGATAAAGGGGTCAATTCATCCAAAAGATATAGCAGTCATTTGTGTGTGTGGGTGTGTATCTGCAACCATGAGAGTACCTAAATATATTAAACAAATGCTAACAGATCTAAAGGAAGAAATGGACAACAATACAATAGTGGGAAACTTCAATATCCAATTTTCAACAATGGATAGATCATACAGACAAAAAATCAATAAGAAGGAAACTTTGGGATTACACTACACTTTAGACTAAATAGACCTAACAGACATATATAGAACATTCCAACCAATAACAACAGAATACACATATTCTTCTCAAGCACACACAAAACATTCTCCAGGATAGATTATATGATACAAAGCAAATCTTAGCAAATTTAAGAAGATTGAAATCATACTAAGTATCTTTTGACCTCAGGGGTATGAAACTAGAAATCAATAGCAGAAAAGTAAAGTTAGAAAATTCACAAATATGTAGAAACTAAACAGCATTCTCTTAAACAACACATGGGTCAAATAAGAAGTCAAAAGGGAAATCAAAAAATATGTTGAAGTAATAAAAAATGGAAACACAATATACCAAAACTTAGGGAAACAGAGAAAGCAGTTCTAAGAAGAAAGTTCATAGAAATAAATGCCTGCATTTAGGAAAAAACAAAGATATCAAATAAACAATGTAACTATACATCTCAAGGAACTAGAAGAAAGAAGAACAAACTAAGCTCAAATATAGTAGAAGGAAGGAAAACTGAAAAGATTAGAACAGAAATGAATAAAATAAAGACCAGAAAGCAATAGAAAAGTTCAATGAAATAAGAACTGGTTTTTGAAAATATAAACAAAATTGACAAACCTTTAGCTAGACTGACAAAGGATAAAAGAGAAAAGATTTAAATAAAATCAGAAATGAAAGAGGAGACATTACAACTGGTACTACAGAAATACATAAGATAATAAGAAACTGTTATGAACATTTATAGGCCATCAAACTGGATAACCTAGAAGAAATAGATACATGCCCCCAAAGTATACAATCTAACCAGACTAAATCATAAAGAAACAGAAAATCTTAACAGACCAATAGTAAGGAAGGAGACTGAATCAGAACAGAAAAATCTTCCAACAAAGATAATCCCAGGTCCAGAGGATTTCCCTGGTGAGTTCCAGCAAATATTTAAAGAAGAATAAATGCTAATCTTTCTGAAACTCTCCCAAAAGGTTAAAGAGGAAAGAACATTCTCAAACTCATTTACTCAAGGCAAGCATTACTCTGATACTGAACCCAGATAAAACACTATTAGAAAACTATTTTTAAAAAGATGTCCTTTTTCATTATAGGGGACTGGAATGCAAAAGTAGGAAGTCAAGAAATACCTGGAGTAACAGGAAAATGTGGCCTTGGAGTACAGGATGAAGCAGGGCAAAGGCTTATAGAGTTTTGCCAAGAGAATGCACTGATCATAGCAAACACTTCTTCCAACAACACAAGAGAAGACTCTACACATGGACATCACCAGATGTTCAACACCGAAATCAGATTGATTATATTCTTTGCAGCCAGAGATGGAGAAGCTCCATACTGTCAGGAAAAACAAGACCAGGAGCTAACTGTGGCTCAGATCATGAACTCCTTATTGCCAATTTCAGACTGAAATTGAAGAAAGTAGGGAAAACCACTAGACCATTCAGGTATGGCCTAAATCAAAACCCTTGCGATTATACAGTGGAAATGAGAAATAGATTTAAGGGACTAGAACTGATAGACAGACTGCCTGATGAACTACGGAGGTTTGTGACATTGTGCAGGAGGCAGGCATCAAGACCGTCCCCAAGAAAAAGAAATGCAAAAAATCAAAATTGCTGTCTGAAGAGGGCTTACAAATAGCTGTGAAAAGAAGAGAAGTGAAAAGCAAACGGGAAAAGGAAAGATATACCCATTTTAATGCAGAGTTCCAGAGAATAGCAAGGAGAGATAAGAAAGCATTCCTCAGCGATCAGTGCAAAGAAATAGAGGAAAACAACAGAATGGGAAAGACTAGAGATCTCTTCAAGAAAATGAGAGATACCAAGGGAACATTTCATGCAAAGATGG